TAGAAATAATACCTATAAATAGGTCTTTAATGGGAAACTCTTCACGTTTTTGTTGCCATACCTTTCCGTCCCAATCAACTCGTGGTAACTCTTTCTTAATCATCGGATATACCATTGAATCTCTAATTATGTAAACACTTGTTAGAGTTTCAAACATTTTGTCAATTAGTTTGCCATTCATTAAGGATTTGTCACAAAACTTGTTTGATACAAGTTGACAGTTAGTTACTGTTGTTAAACTAAACACAATTATTAAACACTTAAATAGCATTTTGATTTGAGATTAAAATAAAAAGATTATCTAATGAATAGATTTGATCAGAGATGTTATAATTTATTTCAACGGATATTGTATTTATTCATTACAAATTGTACTTTCATATTGAGTTAGAAAAATCAAATAATGAGTTTATTTCGCGCAAAATTAACAATTGGTTAGTTAGTACTGTATTAATAACACTTAGAATAAGTTAGTATTAATTACTAGAAATTCATAAGTCATATCAAACTACCAACTCATTATGGATAATGTATCTATCGGGACATACATTATTATCATCTCTCTTAAGACATGTTAACCCAAACCGAGGAATGAATACGAGTCCACCGATTATGAGGAATATTACGGTCAATAAGATAAAGGATATCCAAACATATTGATTAACACCAGTAAATGTGATTTCTGTCGGAACGGTAGTCGTAGCAATGGTCTCCGTGTCGGACATCATATAATACTTGCGAAATAATTCGTAATACCTGTGTCACAAGTCGCAGTCAAAGAGTACCCAAATTGGATCCTTAAGGAATCCATACAAATATAAGATATTCATGCAAACTACCGGTGCTTTAAAGGACTTACAGTTTTGTTAGCAAATTCAATGTCAACTATGGCCTCGTTGTTAACCACATAAACCGGATAATCCATTCGTACGACACCTTTGAAGTCCGTTGCCTTATAGTGTGCATTGAGTTTAATCTCATTTATTTTAATTGTTTGCAAATTATTATCCGGGTCATTCTTGTCATACAAAATAGATAAATAGATGTTGTTCTGTATGTCCATTAATAACACAGTAGACAACTTGCCAGTTATGCTATTACTAGTATCATATAGGGCTACATAGACAGGCCCGCGGACTCCAAATACATCGGATATTAAGCCAGTGTTAGGGATACCCAGACCATTTGGCATTTGGTTATTATGAGCCAATATTAGCGAACTGTTGGATAGTTCACGAAATACATAGTAATAATAGCCACTGAATATAAACACCAAATAATAGTTATCAGGTTTGGGCTCAGAATCGCTAACCAATTGCCGATTCCTATTGAGTGTTACGGAGAACCTGGAGTCAATGTATTTTAAACGGGCACTCATTTCTCCGATATAAAAGTCAATGAATTCACCTGGGTTAAATGGGTTGATAATTATGTTTAAAATGACATAAAATTGTGGTATACTTAATAAGAATAATACCTAAAAATAGGTCTGTGAAGGGAAACTCCTTACACTTTTGCTGCCATACCCTACGACTGTCAACAACTTGCGGTAACTGTTGGTGTTTCATGGGGTACACCATTGAACGTCTAATTATGTAAGTAGTGGTCGGAGTTTGAAATACTTTGTCAATCAAATTGATATTACTTTTCATTAAACGTTTGTCACAAAAATGATTGTGTGGGTGATGTTGACTGTGAGCTGGTGTTATCAAAGTAATTAAAGTAACTATAATTAATATTGACTTGAATGACATTTTTATTTGTAAATTTATATTTTAAAATTAAAAATAATTCAAAATTAAGTCTAATATGACACAGATTTTTTTGGTTATAAAAGTTTATGACTACAGTTTTAAAATAAATACAAAATACTATGCATTGTAATTTGTTTACAGTTTACAGTAATAATAAATTTAATGTTATTTTAAAAATTATTCTTACATAGTCAGTCATGTTACATAAATATTTTTTATTTATTAATCAAATTAATTTACAATATAAATAAATTAAAGAATTTTTAGGGTTAATTCAATTAACTTAATTGTGTGAATTATTACTATATTTACCGTATATGCTATTATTCATTGTTATTATTTGCATGTATCATTTTGTTTGTAATAATTATTTTCGAAATAATCGTTTTCTTGGTTACAATCAGTGAATCCATGGAATTGACAGTAACTGTTAATAAATAATCAGGTATTCGGGTATCTATTACTTTTATACTGTATTATGTTGTTATACTAAGTTAGTAAAAGGTTTAAACGGTTGCTGAGTTTAATTGGAGTCAATATGAATGCTAATGAAACCAACCTTGATGATGAATTAAAAGCACAATTGACCGAAACAAACAAAATAGGTTTTGGAGTATTTAGTTCGGTTTACAAAGTGACCAAGGACCATAGCAAATATGCTCTCAAGGAAATCCAATTGACAGGTATTGTAACTTATTTACAGTATTATAATTTATCCAATAGTTACAAAAGGTTTTATTATAATCAAAATGACTGTTACTTTACTTACAGAACAACTGAATGAAAATGAGAAGAAATATCTCAGAGAGCTGTCAATCATAAAAGAGCTGAAAAACAGCCATGTGGTCGGGTATGTCATGTCGTGGACTTCACCCACCGTTACATACATAATGATGGAGTTGTGTGAATGCGATCTCAATGTATTGATTGAGTCAATGACAGCCATATTTAAATGCGCCGACAATGTAGAGCCCAACCATTTCGAGTACTTCGTGTCGTATCATATATTTCATGAGATATCACTGGGAGTCCATTATATTCACACCCAAACACCCCCTATAATGCATCGGGACCTTAAACCAACAAACATCCTGATGGCCAGCGATGGTAGTTTGAAGCTAGGTGATTTTGGGTTGGCTAAGGTTAAGGACAAAGGGACGGTGACAAACACGGTAGGGGTGGGCTGCGAGGCTTATATAGCGCCTGAAGTTAGCAAACCTGAACGATTGCACCACCACTACAATGAATTGTGTGATATGTATAGCTTGGGCATGATTGGACAGACAGTTTTTATATTTGATTTGTGAGTATAATTAATCCTATACTAGACTTTAATTTTTAATAATTTAAATAATGAACTAGCTTTTAATCTTGATAAGTTTGGCTATACCAAATGATAGTGACTCGCAAAGAATTACAGGTTTGCGCGATATAATGAACCAGCTCATTCACCGCACACCTAATAAAAGACCAAATAGTGTGAAACTGTTGGAAATGTTGAGCAAAATTGACAAAATGGATGATAAGAAAGTTTTGGGTGAATACAAGGATTATGAAAATGGTTTAAATAACTCGCATAAATATCTGAAACAATTTGTATCCATCAGAATTAACAAACTAAAGTAAGTTAATTATTTAAATGAGAATAGGCAATTTATGTGTAACTTAAATATTTGTATAATAAAATTGTTGTTAATTTTATTTTTATAAAATAATTATTTATCATTTTAATTATGGTTAGATAGAATAAATAATTAATTAATTAAAAATGTGTATTATTATCATCATCCGGTAAATAAATTGCAATATTTTTTATCTCATACACAAAAGTGTTTTATCTATACTTATTTAATTATTGAGTAAAAGTGTTATATACTTACAAAATACATTTATTAAATGATCAAATATTAATTGTAAAATTTTATTTAGCGTATTTAATTTAGTAAATTTATTTTAATTATTTAAATGAAAATTTATAGATTAAATACTTATAAAAAAAGTTTGGTTATCTCTAAGTTATCTAAAATATTTATTCTGTGAAATACAATGAATCACTATTACCGGAAATATTACGGCAATTGCTATCATCAGTCTCATTATATTTATTATTGTAATACAGATAGTAATAGCTCATTGCTTCTCACAATTGCCTTAAAGGTATGAAATAGACTTAATAAGTAAATAATGATAAAGATAACCACCAAAAATGTGTAAATGTCTATATAAGTGCTAATTATTTGTTCATTTTATATAATACAGTATTTCTAGAGAAAATCATATTGTCAATATGAGTGACAATAACAATATTTGTGAGGATTTAACGACATTTACGAACCAATTGACAGATGAACCAATAATATTAGGAACTGGATCATATGGAAAAGTTTATAAAGTGACCAAGGACCATATCAACTATGCTCTCAAGGAAATCCAATTGACAGGTATTGTAATTTATTTACAGTATTATAATTTATCCAATAGTTACAAAAAGTTTTATTATAATCAAAATGACTGTTAATTACAGAACAACTGAATGAAAGTGAGAAGAAATATCTCAGAGAGCTGTCAATCATGAAAGAGCTGGACAACAGCCATGTGGTCGGGTATGTCATGTCGTGGACTTCACCCACTGTTATATACATAATGATGGAGTTGTGTGAATGCGATCTCAATGTATTGATTAAGTCAATGACAGCCATATTTAAATGCGCCGACAATGTAGAGCCCAACGATTTCGAGTACTTCGTGTCGTTTAGTATATTCTATGAGATAGCACAGGGAGTCCATTACATCCACTCATTCAAACCGCACCCCATTATGCACCGGGACCTCAAGCCATCCAATATTCTAATGGACAGGAATGGCGTATTGAAGCTAGCAGATTTTGGTCTGGCTAAGGTGGTAGAAGGGTCGGTGACACATACATCAGTAGTAGGTGCCGCTTTTTATAGGGCGCCCGAAGTTGAAAAAGGTTCGCCTAATCTTCACTACAAACAGTCGGCCGATATGTATAGCCTGGGTATGATTGGACAGACAGTTTTTATATGTGATTTGTGAGTATAATTAATCCTATACTAGACTTAAATTTTTAATAATTTAAATAATGAACTAGCTTTTAATCTTGATAAGTTTGGCTATACCAAATGATAGTGACTCGCAAAGAATCACAGGTTTACGCGATATAATGAACCAGCTCATTCATCGCAAACCTAATGAAAGACCAAATAGTGTGAAACTGTTGCAAATGTTGAGCAAAATTGACAAAATAGATGATAAGAAAGTTTTGGATGAATACAAGGATTATGAAAATAGTTTAAACAATTCGCATAAATTTCTAAATCAATTTGTATCCATCAGAATTAATAAACTAAAGTAAGTTAATTATTTAAATAATAATAGGGAATTCATGTTTAACTTAAATATTTGTATAAAAAAATTGTTGTTAATTTTATTTTTATAAAATAATTATTTATCATTTTAATTATGGTTAGATAGAATAAATAATTAATTAATTAAAAATTAATTTATTACTATCATCATCCGGTAAATAAATTGCAATATTTTTTATCTCATCCACTATACTTATTTAATTATTGAGTAAAAGTGTTATAAAAGTTTAGTTATCTCTGAGTTATCTAAAATATTTATTCTGTGAAATACAATGAATCAATACTTCCGGAAATATTACGGCAATTGTTATTATCAGTCTCATTATATTTATTATTGTAAAACAGGTAATAATAGCTCACTACTTCTCACAATTGCCTTAAAAGGTATGAAATAGACTTAAAAAGTAAATACTGATAAGATTACCACAAAAAATGTGTAAATGTCTATATAAGTGCTAATTATTTGTTCATTTTATATAATACAGTATTTCTAGAGAATATCATATTGTCAATATGAGTGACAATAACATTATTTGTGATGAGGATTTAAACACATTTACGAGCCAATTGACAGATGAACTAATAATAGGAACTGGATCATATGGAAATGTTTGTAAAGTGACCAAGGACCAAATTGACTATGCGTTCAAAGTGATTCCAATTAAAGGTACTGATACAGTATTATCTAATGTTATTTAAAATGTAATACAGTACAAATATAATATACTAAAATATAATGAACAATATATACAAATATATACAGTACAAAGTTCTAAACATTTAATAAAAACATACTAGTATGTAATTATATACCTTTAATTTATTCGCAGACCTGAAGCCTGATGAATTGACTGCTGATGAACTGAGAGAGTTGTCAATCATGAAGAACCTGAAGGATAATCATGTGGTCGAGTATAAGATGTCGTGGACTAGGGATGGCTTTTCATACATATTGATGGAGTTATGTGAATGCGATTTGAATGCATTGATTGACTCCATGAAAGGGCTGACCAAATGTGACGACAATGTAGAGCCCAACCATTTCGAGTACTTCGTGTCGTTTAGTATATTCCATGAGATATCACAAGGAATCCGTTACATCCACTCATTCAAACCCTATCCCATTATGCACCGGGACCTCAAACCATCCAATATTCTAATGGACAGGAATGGTGTATTGAAGCTAGCAGATTTTGGTCTGGCTAAAGTGTTGTCGGACAAGGGGTCGGTCACACACACGGCCGGTGTGGGCTCGGAGGGGTTTATGGCACCGGAAATAAGTCATAGCAGTAATAATCATCACTACAAACAGTCGGCCGATATATATAGCCTGGGTATGTGCGGCCAGAAAATATTTGTCTATAACCTGTAAGTGTGCTTGTTCATATAGTTTTAAAGGTAGTAAATATATTATAATAATTGTTTCAATCATTTGCACAGTTTATCCGAAGCAAGTGTAACTAAAAGGATTCAATCTTTGCGCGATATTATAAATAAAATGATCAAGGTTAAATTTAGTGCTCGACCAAATAGTGCTGAGCTGCTAGAAATGCTGAGCGAAATTGAGCCAGTTGATATGGAATCAGTTTTGACCAAGTACCTGGATTATACTGATTATACTTATAATAGTGGATCCGAAACAGAGACAGCGGACGAAGAGTTTGATTATGAAGAGTATGAAGAGGACTTTGGCTTAAACACAACAGAAGACACAGAAATCGATATTCCAGAAGAAGAGGAAGAAACAGATGATTGGGTTTCAGATGAAAAGACATCTCCAGATAAATGGCTTTCCTTATTCACACTTAAAAGTGGCCCTAAATTAGATCCAATTCCTTCAGAACCTATTGATGTCTTTAACTATTATTTATCACAAGAATTGTTAAACGAGATTCTGGAGTGCAGTAATATGTATGCATTTCGTGAGAATTCAAATCACATTATTATCACATTAGATGAATTGAAAAAGGTGATCGGGATTCAGATATTAATGGGAGTAAAGCAATTGAGTTCTGAAAAAAAGCACTGGTCAAAAAATCCGTTTTATCGAACCAAAGAAATAGTGAATGCGATGAATTATAATCGATATGTTCATATCAAAAATGTCCTCCGATTCTATCAAATTAATTCTGAGATAGAATTGAAAGCAACAGATCCAAACATATATAAAGTGAGATTATTATTAAGAACATTATCAGAAGTATCACATTATTTATATCAACCATCCAAAGAGATTACAATTGATGAATCATTAGCACGATTCCGTGGAAGGTATAAAGATCTGCAAACAATTCCGAGTAAAGCCTCCAAAACAGGAATCAAATTCTATTCAATTTGTGACTCTAATAATGGATTTTTGTATTATTCGATAACACACGGCGACACAAAAGATATTAGACTGAACTTTTCACATAATATTGTAATTCGATTGCTTGAACTCGCGCAAATCAGTGAGGGCCACATATTATATACTGACAATTTTTATTCGAGTCCTTCTCTGGCAAAGAAATTAATTTCAATGGGAATTGGGTTTTGCGGTACAGTGAGAAAGAATCGAATAGGTCTTCCGGATGACATTAAGACGAATCCAGTGAATAAGGATAGAGTTGGACCCGAATATATGCGAAATGGAAATCTCTTTTGTGTGAGTTGGTTTGACCATAAACTTGTGATTTGCATATCAACACATATTGGTAAAGGTGTCGTCAAACAACTCCGCAGAAGTAAAATGTATAAGGAAACTGGAGGCAAAAAAGAAATAGATATTCCAATCATTATTACAGATTACAACAAGAACATGAAAGGTGTAGATTTGAATGATCAGAAGAAAACATATGTCTCATATCCTCACAAACACCTTAATTGGCCTCAAGTTGTATGGCATTGGTATTTATATTCAGCACTCATTAATTCACACATTATTTACTCATTTGGATCAAAACGAATTAATCCCGGAGACTTTAAGCTGTCAATTGCCTTCTCATTACTGGGACAGACTACTGGTCATAATATATCTGTTTCCACACCTGTCACTACATCGTCATCAAATTTAACTACATCTGTGTCTCAATCTGTTTCTGAATGTCGTAGACTTAATGCTAAACTTGAACAAACCGGTGAAAGAAAGTGTTGTGACATTTGTAAACTTACAAAGAAGTACAAACAGGTTATGCTAAGATGTTCGGTTTGTAAAAAACATTACTGTAGTGTCTCATTAACTTTAGATTTGACTTGTTTTCAAAAACATGTTAATTAATCAATTCATATTAAATACAACAAACAGTAATAAAATATTTATTTATTAATTAAAGTTAATTTTTAAATTTCGTTATATAAATTAATATAATATAAATTATTAAAATGTTGTGATATAATTTGTTGCTATTGGCTAGTATAAAAGTTTGTAAATTAATTTAATAAATTATAACTCAAATTAAATATAATTTATTTTTAAATCAAAGATTTCTTATTTAAACGAAATAATTTGATATCCAATATTTATATATCATTAACATAGGATATCATATCTTACATTTGGGTTTACCAAGTTTCTATTACCAATCAACTTATTTATCAATCAATTATTATTTACTATAAACTTGAATAACTTACTGACCAATGGCCATTTAACTTAATTAGCAAAGTTAGGTTAGGTTAGGTCAAGACACGTTTATTCCACTTATCTAATTAAAAATATGTCCACTGGTCAGTTAGTTATTTGAGTTTAGGCTTTTTCGGTTTTGTTTTTTAGATTGTAACCATACTTTGTACAATGTGCCTGCCAGCATGTAAATTTTAATATATTGAATATTAATATATTTAAAATATTGCATGGATTTTGGGTAATAAATGTTTTCATAAAATCTCTTTCCCCGTTTCCTTCTAATCTTGAACAATTTTGTCACAAGCATATTGGTATAGAAAAACCATATTTCTCATAAGATTTTTATTGATCAAGCTCAAACGTAACCCATCTAAATTATATAAACGAATCCAAAAGGTTTTGCAAAACTTTTATGCACCCTTCCTCCCAGCACATTTATACAGTGAGCTATTTTTAAGGTGCTTGGGTAAATTCAGATGGTCTCTCAATGGTTACTAGTACTTCACTATTAGCCAATCACATTATGAGATAATACTATCAAACAGTTAATGGTATGTGTTATACGCTATTTAAATGTGTTATGAATACATGCTCTCTCTCTCTCTCCCTCTCTCTCTCCCTCTCTCTCCCTCCCTCTCTCTCTCTCTCTCTCTCTCTCTCTCTCTCATGATATACATCTCTACATTTATTTCTTGTTTTATTACATCATTTGGTTTGTGAGAAAAGTGTCTCAAAAAGAAATCCCATTTATTTCTCGCGACTCACAAAAACTTGTTTTCATAAGTCTCTCAATTTGAAAACCTTTTTAAAAAGCTTTTCTCTTTTGCTTATTTCCTACAAAAACACTGAATTGCCTGATATAGTGAACCAATTTGTAAACCTTAAATGTACAGTAATATTCAGTACATTATAATCGATACTACAATAAAACATTTTATTATTTTCAAAAATAAAACTTTTATTGTGAATACAAATCATTAAATTGTTTTCTAGAGAATTGTGAGCTCATTAATAAAATTAATATATCAATTTAATGTCTATATTACTTTTATTAATAATAATTTTATAAGGAAATTTTGATAATTAATACGGTTTAAGTTTACAATTCAATTGATTATAATAATTATATGCCTTTCTCTTAATTATTGATTTTTATCACAAAACAATTTTTAAACAAAATTTTATTGTCAATAAATATCTGTTTAGTGTTTAACTATACTAGTACAGTAATTATGATAAGTTGTTAAGACAATTGATTAATGGGAAACTTATTTAGTTTTTGTTTATATTTATTTTTAAATTATTTTTATTAATCAAAAATAAGTTTCAAGGATTTTTTGTTGCTAAAACTAATAAATCATTGATAGGCTTGACTTAAATAATTAGATTTATTATATAATAATAATTAAGATTTATAAAGAATTTTAAGCAAATGTTTTCCTTATAATTTGTACAATTTGTTTCAATATACTTATCATAAGTGGAATTTATAAATATTTTGAATAAATTCATTTTGAAATGAGAATTATGATTGAATACTCTGTCAATATTTATTTTACTAACATTTAAGCATTTTACATTCACATTTTAGTATTTCATTTTACAGTTAAGTACTACAGTATTTAAAATTTAAATTTTAAATTAAAAGTTATTTATAGAAATAAATTTTTTGATATTGAGAAAATATTTTTTATTAAATTAAACTTTTATGAATATTCAAAGTAATTTTAATGTATAAATTTGGAAAATTATAAGTATGCAATGCAATTCAATATAATATATTATATATAAAATAATAAGGAGATAAAAATAAAGTAAAACTTTCCAAACTATCTCACTGTCACTGACATCTCATTGTCGGCTATTTCGTCTTCTGGGACATACACCTCATTGGTCTCATCTTTCTTAAGATATCTTAACCCATACAGAGGTATGAATATAATGACACCAATTATGAGGAATATTATAGTCAATAGGATAATGGATCGCCAGACAAGCCTGTGAGCACCGGATGGTACGATAAGTACGATATCTGTGGTAACAGTAGTCCAATACTCTTCAGTGTTTTCGTCTTCAGGCACGTCATAGTACTTGAGAATCATTTTATAGTCTTTTTCCCAGAAGTCACAGTCAAAGAGTTCCCAAATTGAATCCTTAAGTCATTTACACATTTATTGAATACCATCTCTCATATAATACCGGTGCGTTTAGGGACTTACGGTTTTGTTGCCTAATTCTATGTCAATTATAGCCTCATCGTTGACCACATAAACGGGAGGAACCATTCGTAGGACTCCTTTGAAATCCATTGCCTTATAGTTTGCGTTGATTTTAATTTTATTGTTTTCAAATTTTTGGACCCCTATAATACTAGTCTGTGTTTCATTCTTATACAAAATAAAATCAATATAAAGTCTATTTTGTGTGATTAAAGACAAAACAAATGATCGCTCGTTATATGACGAAAGGATTCCATATAGAGTGGCATAGATTGGCCCCTCCACTCCAAATACATCGGATATTAAACCCATATTAGGGATATTGAGACCGATTGGCAATTCGCTATTAAGAGCCAATTGTAGGGAAGTGTTGGATAGTTCACGAAAAACATAGTAATCATTGCCACTGAATATAAACACTAAATAATAGTAATCAGGTTTGGGCTCAAAATCGCGAACAAACTGTCGGTTCCTATTCACTATTATTGAGAACCCGGAGTCAAAATCTGTTAAATTAGCACCTTTTTGAAGGTATATTTGTTTGAAAAATATGTTTATGGTAATTATTTACAGTTAGAAATAATACCTATAAATAGGTCTTTAATAGGAAACTCTTCACGTTTGTGTTGCCATACCTTTCCGTCCCAATCAACTCGTGGTAACTCTTTCTTAATCATCGGATATACCATTGAATCTCTAATTATGTAAACACTTGTTAGAGTTTCAAACATTTTGTCAATTAGTTTGCCATTCATTAAGGATTTGTCACAAAACTTGTTTGATACAAGTTGACAGTTAGTTACTGTTGTTAAACTAAACACAATTATTAAACACTTAAATAGCATTTTGATTTGAGATTAAAATAAAAAGATTATCTAATGAATAGATTTGATCACAGATGTTATCATTTATTTCAACGAATATTGTATTTATTCATTACAAATTGTACTTTCATATTGAGTTAGAAAAATCAAATAATGAGTTTATTTCGCGCAAAATTAACAATTGGTTAGTTAGTACTGTATTAATAACACTTAGAATAAGTTAGTATTAATTAAAGTGTCTCAAAAAGAAATCCCATTTATTTCTCGCGACTCACAAAAACTTGTTTTCATAAGTCTCTCAATTTGAAAACCTTTTT